GGGGGGGGGGGGGGGGGGGGGGGAGATGATGGAGGGGTTGTTAGCTCGTGTGTGCGTGTTTTACAATTAGGAAAGAAAGGTGAGGAGGAAAATGAAAGGGGAATTAAGGTGTAGAGTGTCTGTGTGAAATGAAGAAGGTCGGGGGAGAGAGAGCTGTGAGGAGGGAGGGAGGGAGTGTTTTCGAGGAAATCTTGATGAAGGAGGAGGGCACGGACACGGTGTCGTCGTTCCCCGTGGCTCGCCCACCTCCGTTGATGAGAATGGACCATAATCACGAAGACGATCATGCTGGAAGGGATGGTAGTGGTTGGGATAATCGGTTTTGGGCGTCGTCGCCACCTGTAGGTTGTGTATGCTCCTCCTCCTCTTCCTCGTTCGAGGGGTTCCTGACGGGTAGGAGATCAAGGAGCAGCTCTACTTCCTCGTCGGCTATGGGTTCCTCATCTTCTGGGACTTCAAATTTTCCGCTTTCGTCGTCATCCCCCTCTGGTGGTGGGAGTAAGTCCTCCTCGTCTTCGACGCGTGTTGCTCGTCAGTTATCTCCATTTGTCGGTGAAGGGTTCCTTCTCCACAATGTCACGAAATTTGACACATTGGCAGGATTGGCCATCAAGTATGGCGTGGAGGTAAGAACCGTGAGCTATGCGATTTCGAATATCCTATCTCGATCCCGACAAGTCTCCCTCCCTCCAAATTACTTCGTGATAAATACGGTCACCTTGATCTGTTTCTGCCTTCCTCGTCTAATCATCCTCGTCCTCCTCCCCGCTCTCTTTCTCTCTCCCCCTCTCTCCCCCTCTTTGCCCCTCTTTACCCCTTTCTACCCTCTTCTTTACTGTGCGCGAGTCCCGTGTCGCGTTCAGCGAGAGTCTCTGCAAGCGCTCCCCGCTCGTTTTTTTTTTTTTTTTTTTTTGCAAATGCAAACTTAATTTTGTTTTTATTTATTTTATCCACTCTCTCTCTCTCTCTCTCTCTCTCTCTCTCTCCCGCTCGTTTTTTTTTTTTTTTTTTTTTTTTTTTTTTTCCCTCTCTCACCTTTTGCTAATTAACGCAGTCAGGTGTTCCTGACCTTCCCCCACTGTATTTGATTCTATCTGTCGAAAAGAAAGGAGGGGAAGGAGAGCGGAGTTACAAAATGGTCCCCTCTGTCCCAGTACTCTTGCGCTTCCGTTTTCTTTCTCTGTTACTCTCTTTTCTCAATTGCATTTCCTACCTCGTTCTTTCTCCCCTTACTCTCCTCTCTGTTGTTCTGGTCCCGTCTGTCCTTGCTGTCTCGATTCTTTCCCTCTCCAGATTCTCTCTCTGTAGATTCTCTCTCCCCTCGATTCTGCTCCCTTGTTTCGCTGTGTCTCCCTCTCGGACTCTCCGTCTGTCCTTTTATGATGGTTTCCATGCCTACTGCGAATGTCAGCGCTCCTCTTTACTGTCTTATGTCGCATTCTGCGCTTCTTCTTTTCGGTGGTAAGCTGTTCTTCTCCCTCGTTTCGCTGCTCTGGCTCCCCTCTCCCCCCTCCCCGAAAGCGCGCTTGCACCACCTCTTCTGTCTCGCTTCTTCTTCATTTTGCATGCAATTTCCCTCCCCCTTTGTCCACCCGGCCTTCTGTGCCTGACTACTCTTCTTTCCTCTCTTCACATTTCTCCTTCTCTCGTGGTCGTTCGTTTTTTCCATTTTTCTCTCTCTCTCTTGCCTTCTCTTTGATAGCGCTTTCTTTCTTAATCGTTTGCAATGCACGTCGTCTTTGTCCTTTCTCTCTCTCTCTCTCTCTCTCTCTCTCTCCCCCCTGTTCCTGTCTAGCCTCTTCCCCTCTTCCCCTCTTTTTTGCCCATGTGGTTCTCTCGCCTCTTCCTCTCTCTGTCTTCCTTATGTCCATCACTCATCGGACACTCCCCGTCCCTCTCCTCTCTCTCTCTCTCTCCTGTTCGTGTCTAGCCTCTCCCCCTCTTCCCGTCTCCACTTCTTCCACCATTCTTTTTTGCCCGTGTGGTTCTCTCTCCTATTCCGCTCCTGTCATCTTCCTGATGTTCATCACTTATTGGACACTCCCTCTCCCCCTCTCTCCCCGCACTCCCTCTTTGTCACGTTCTTCCTGTTCCATCTCTCGCCTCTTCCTCTCTCTATATTCCTTATGTCTCTTGTTTCCTCCCCGCACTCCCTCTTTGTCACGTTCTTCCTGTTCGCGTTGTCACTCTGAACTCCCTTCTGTCTCTTCACCTTTTCTTATGCTAGATGATATGAGAGAAGATATCAATCTTTTTAAGGACAAAACGCGTTCCCGTTCCATTCTCTAATTATATTGCTTAATTTACATTTTTCGAAAAAGAATTTAGCGGGAGCTTCCGAGAGCCCAGTCGGGAGAGCCAATCTCAACTGCATCGGGGCTCCCTTTCCTGTAGAGACGATTTGACAAAATAGGTTTTCTGCCGGTAATAGGAATATCTGAAAAAAACTTGTTTTATTCAGGAAATTTCCGGCGATGGCACGACGTGCCGGTTCAATTCGTTTGTCTATGATTGATATGCGACCTGCTTCACAACGGCTTACCTGAAGCTCATGTAGAAGCAAGCACCCATCGCTGGATCTGTTATCTGAGCGGAACTTCTCCTATAATTGGGAGCATGGAAGGATTCTTATTTTCCCCTTTACTGCCGCCGCCTATGCCCTACCCCCCCCCAACTACCCCCGAACGCAACGCACTCTCATCGTGAATGTATACAAGCTATCTTTCCGGTTCAATACGTTTAGGATGAGGGAGCCATATATTCCTGGTGTAAGAAGATGGTGGGGAGAGTCTCCCTGCGCCGTCGTGGGGCTCCCCCTTCTCCGAAACAGTAGGTAGGGTCTCTGCACATGAATGTCGCCCCGTTTTCGGTCGTTTTGTCTGTTCTATGTTTAATAATGAACCCTTCGCTAGCCCCTTCTCTCCCTGCTTTCTCTGTCATTTGTTGTTTCCTGTTTTCCTCTGCTCTCTTGCCCGCCTGCCTGCCTCCGCCGTCTGGGCTCTTCCGTCTCTGCTCTCTGGGGGCCTACCTGGCGTGTTCTCTTGCCTGCCTGCCTTCTCTCTTTTCCCCTCTTCATTGCTCTCCGCCTTTCCTCTGCCCTGCTGACCAACTGGCGGCCAAGATTTTAGCCCACGACGTCCCTTGTCTTCTCGGATGTTCACCACGCCTGCCTTCTCTCCTCCCNCCCCCCCCCCCCCCCCCCCCCCCCCCCCCCGCCCCTCTCTTCACCGTTCTCCCCCCTTCCTCTGCCCTCTTGACCGGCCCCCTCGGCATCTGTCGGGCAAGATGCGAGTTCACGACGTCCCTCATCCGCTTAGGATGTCTGTCTGCCGCGCGTAGCGCTGTAGTTGCCCAGGATGGGTCTGTCAATCCGGGCAATGGTTTGTCCTCCGTTTGCCACGTGTCTCGCTGATGTCTTTAGTTTGTCCCTGACAGATCTGTCAATCCCGGCAATGCTTTGTTCTCCGTTTACCACATGTCTCGCTGATGTCTTTAGTTCCTCCCTGATGGGTCTGTCGATCCCCGCGATGGTGTGTCCTGCGTTTGCCACGTGTCTTGCTAATATAAGTAATATCTATAGTGTCTCACTCACGGGTCTCCCCCAAACACCCCATGGTGTTTTTCCTTAGTCGGCCAAGTGTCAGGCTTGGGCTACGCTTCCCATCTTGTGGGGGAAAGTGCAGGCAGGAGCGCACGCAATCCCTTCATTCTGGAGAGCTATGCTGTGCACGAATGATGTTCAAATGCGTCCAATTGGGTTTGATGAATATCAGCGGGCCGCCTGTGGGATGTCTTTGTGGATGCGCTCTGCCTCGCTGGTAAAGGACTATTCATCCGCATTTGCTTTTTACCTCTTTCCCCCTTGTAATTTGACTCGTAATCAAGGCCTTGTATTCCGTTTTCCTGAAATTCCCTAACACCGCGTAGTTGGCTATCTTATGAACAAAGGCCAATGTGGGGAAAATACTAAAAGAAGAGGAAAGCCATATTAAAGAAACGGAAAAAGAGCGCAATGAAAAGAAGATGTCACGATGGTGCGAGATTAAAAAAAATCGAAGAGGGTGTGGGAAGCTTGTTATCTTAACCCGACGTGTGAAGTTTCCCGTTATCCATTTGGTCCCAAGGAAAGAAGAACGTCGGGGCGTGTTCAGACGACGGGTAGGTTTTTCGACTATGTATCTGACCGCGATCATGGACACGTAAGTCGATCAGATCGTACGAGGAGGGTGTCTGGAAGCTTGTCATCGAAACCGGACGTGGGAAGTTGCCCGTCATGCATTTTGGTTCCCAGGAACGAAAGGACGTTGGGGCATATTGCAACGACCGATAGGTATTTGGCCGCGATCGTGGGCCAGGTACGTCGATCAGATCATATGTTTTTGATTAAATGGATGGTATGTCTCGGTCGTGATGGAGTTTTCATTTGCCATGGAGGGCGGACTCCTGGGCGGAGATGTTAGTTGCTCTGGGGGGGGGGGGGGGGGGGGGGGGGTTGTGTGTGTGTGTGTGTGTGTGTGTGTGTGTGTGTGTGTGTGTGTGTGTGTGTATTGTTGGGGGGGGGGTCAGAGGGGGGCTGTTGTGGGTATGGGGGGGGGGGGGGGGGGGGGCGGAGGGCGCTATTGCTAAGGGAAAGAAGGCTATTTTTACCAGGGATAAAAGGACTATTAATGGGGAAAAGGACGATGAAGACGTGGAAACACAGTGATCTCTCTCTTAGTCGGTTCGATAATCGACCGTTAGGAGATTGGGAGCACTAATTACCTCTTTCTCCCTCCCCTCCAAATAGAATATAGAACACACGGACGTCGTTGTTGCAGGGAACTGGAAGGGAGGAGCTGCCTTGAATTAGGTGAATTGAAAAAAGGAGATCATTCGCGCCAATCGCCCTCTCTCCTAGGCTGTTCAAGAAACACAAAATGGTTTTGCATCGCGGCGGCGAGAGAAGCGCATCGTGGCTTGCCAATTGCCGTGTGATAGAGTAGGGGGGGCTGTGGTGGGACAGGCCCTCGCTCCACTACTCAACATTTGATATGTAGGGGGGCTGTTTTATGCACATTGTGCACTTGGACGGTTCGGGCATTTGGTATCTATTAGGACCCCACTGTCAGCTGCAGATACATCTAGAACGTCGTGCACAAGAGCGAGGCCCATAGATAGATAGGACATTCGGGAATTGATTTGGAAGGTGCCGATTGCTTGGGTAGTAAGGCTTGGTCCTCGCGGAACTTAGCGTGGGTCGCGAATGCATTAATTTTTGCGTTTCACCTTTTTATCATCTTGGCGAGATCGCGTACATGATCGCACATTGTCCCCTTCTCTACCTCCCCCCCGCCCCTCTTTAAGTTCCCGCCCTTTTCATTTCTCTGTATCTTGCCTCCCTAATCCCCCCTTGGAGCGCACACATGCACCCTGGTGGATTCGCACAGATGTTGGCGAGATCGCGTACATGATCGCACATTGTCCCCTTCTCTCTCCCTTTCAACCTTCCCCCCCCCTCTCTTTAAGTTCCCGCCCTTTTCATTTCTCTGTATCTTGCCTCCCTAATCTCCCCTTGGAACGGACATATGCACCATGGTCCCTTGGAACAGACATATGCACCCTGGTGGATTCGCACAGATGTTCTGCT